CATTGAAATGCTAATGAAACTAATTAGGTTGTTTCTTTTTGAACTTCTTTTTGTGTTTGAGCTTAAACTCTTCTTATCTGAGATGATTTCATTTGTTGATTTATTGTTTGTCAACTTTATATATTTCCTGTCCCTAGGGGTAAAAGTAGGCATGAGGGATAATAACACAACAAAGTTTATTTCAAAGTGTCTAGTTTTTTCAAAGTGATAAATCTCTTAGATTTTATTTCCACCTGGATGGTTGTGAATTTGGGTGCATCAGAATGTAAAGACTAAATAACTAACAGAAGGGTTGTCAAAGGATTATCATTTCAAAGTTAGACATGGCAGAAGGCAACTCCTGCGTATTCTGGGAAAACGGCTTTGCTTAAGCTATATTTAGATGGTAGAACTAGCAAGTAAGCAGAAAAAAAAAAGCTTTGCATGAAGGTTAATTTTCCTATTTAGGAGAGATACTATCATCTGAAACAGGTGAGGTATGTTTCATGTGGTCATACTCATTTCATTTCCTAATTTTTTTTCTTAAATACTTTTTATTTTTATACAGACATAAATCTGCAAAAGGCAGTAAAGAGTGTTAAAAGAAAAGAGGGAAAAAATCTTCAGACAAGGTAAATTTAACAGAGTTTATTTAAGCATTAAAAGATTCATGAATCACGCAGGACTGAGACCTGGAAGAAGTTCAGACAGCTCCAACTCTGCAGAAAGCAGAAGGCTTTTATAGCCTGAAAGCAGAAGCAAAGCATTGCAATGAAATCAGCTAAGGCTGGATGCACCAGATATTAATTCCTTATATAACAAAGTTCTTCAGTTATTCTTCAGGAAAGGCCTCCAGAATCTACTCAAGGACAGTGTGAAACCAGCTTTTCAAGAATGGATATGTACAGGAGCAGCAGCTTGTCTGGTCAATGACCTTTATATGTCACAAACTCTGTATCCCACCCCCATACACACTTATAACTTCCTCAGAAAAGAAGCATGTAACCTGTGAAGAGGCAAAATGATCACTTACACCTACTCAAAAGCTCCCCAAATCTCCCCTTTCTCACCATCCAAGCAGCTTCTCTTTTGATATTAATTCCCCCAGAATAACAAACTGGGGAGACACATTTGAGGTCTTTTTAAACTCCTGGATCCTTGCAGGCTGACCACAAAATAAAGCTTTTCTTTTTTTCTTTTTGCAAAAAAACCCAGTGCCATACTTTTACTTCATAGGCTTCCATGAGAGTTGGGCAGCAGGCTCTTGCTCAGCAACACAAGTACTTGATTAGCTACAAGCAGGCAGTTATATCTATACAATTCCATAGAAAGTCCTTAATTAGAGCTTAATTGATAGCTTCTGGTTGGTTATGCTTAAGCTTTGTTTTATTGTTTGCATTTGGCTTAATTTTGTAGGAACCCAAGACATTAGAACCTTCTCAGCCTAATGGACTCTCAAATATGTGGGGTTTTTTGTTTGTTTGTTTTTGATTCTGTGAGTTGAACCCAGGGGCACTCTACCACTGAGCTATATCTCCAATCCTTTTTATTTTTCATTTTGAGACAGGATCTTGCTAAGTTGCTTAGGCCCTTCCTAAAGTTCTGAGGCTAGCCTCAAACTTGTGATCCTCCTTTCTCAGTCTCCTGAGTCACTGGGATTATAGGTGTCCATTACTATGCCTGGCTCAATTATTATTATTTTTTTAACAAGACAACTAACTCTGATATCAGCTCACAATGATCAGCAAGCACAGAATCTTATCTATCTATCTATCTATCTATATACACATATATATTTATTTATTTATAATCTATCTATATGTAAATATATTTATATATAAGTATATATATATTTATCTGTGTGTATATAAATATACATATATATGTATATCTCACCTACAGCACGAAGTATATGTGTGTGTGTGTATATACACACACACACACACACACACACACACACATATATATATATATATACACTAAATAACTAAATGTTATATAGATCTAAATAACTAACAGAAGCGTTGTCAAAGGATTACCATTTCAAAGTTAGATATGACAGAAGGCAACTCCTGAGTATTCTGGAAAAACAGCTTTGCTTAAGCTACAGCACCAAATAGAAGTGCTGTACTGAACACGGGTAGAAATGCACAAGTTCATCAATATTCCAGGACTTCTAAGTATTCTAATTGGATAGGCAAAAAATTAGAATGTTGAGAATAAAGTGTTAGTTATGCTGTGGATATTTCATATACACTGATGGAGTTTGAGTATCTCAATGTTTTGAAAAGTAATTTGGTAGAAATTGCTATAAAAGTTTATGATTGTGGATTCAGAAATTTTGAAGAAAACTAACATATAGGAATCAAAACATTAGGTTGAAGAATAAATTTTAAAATAATTACTGAAACATTTCTGGTCCCAACAACATGGGCCCATCACTAAGAGTAGGTTGGACTAGATGATATCTATACTAATGAATGCTATGTGGTAAGAGGAGTGGTCTAACTGTTGTATCTGGGAAGAAATATATATGTGAACATTTGTAAGTGAATGTTAATGTGTTATGTGAAATTTTAGATAAAAAGTTATGAAACAAACCAAACCGGAACATCAGTAATTGTTACTAGGGATGGCCTTTTAGAGGTTGGCTGAAAAAGATTTAAAAGACATGTGTGATGAAAGTTGTTGGGTAGGGAGAAATCTGGGCTTTGGTGGAAAATTACACATTGTTCATAGTGCACTCATCTTGGTTATCCAATAGAAGCATGAGACTGATTTTGAGCTATTTCAGAATTCTAAATTATAATTTATGTTGGTACAAAACCTTTTGCTAGATATGGTCATTTTGTCCTGAAAAGTATCAATTTACTTGCCTTTACTTATGCAGAAGGGACCAGTTTTTCTTCTGTTTGCATGTTCACTTTATTATCCTGATTTGTAAATATGTGTTTTCTTTGGATTCTTATTTGAAGAAGTTGTTAACATACTGTCATGTCCTCATTAATAAATTAAATAAAATCTTTAACATGTTATTATGTCTGTATGAGAATCACCTTTGCTTGAAAACTATCCTTTAATGGACTTTTCCCATATTTTTCAAGTGCAGATAATCTAACACAAATACTTAATAAAACATATGAATAATGTAAAGTACTGTAAAGGAAGATCAATAATGTTATTGCCAAATGTTATGATGAGGCAGGATAGACAAGGACCATGACATTTTTATTTTTACTTTCTATTCTATCTATTTATATTGAAAATTTTGTATTATATTTCATTTGATAGTTTTATAAATAAAAAATAAATAGTAGCTAATTACTCTAATCAGATTATACCTTCTTGAGAAAAAAAAAATTTAAAGATTTTTTTTCTTGCTTTCAAAATCTGGTGAATAGAGTGCTGACCACTGTATTAAGTGAGTTAATACTAACGAAAATATGAGATGAAATATAACAATATTTAACCTTGTTCACAGATATAACAAAAACAGTTTTAACTATTACAAAAGCTCACTCCCCGAATCTCCCAGATTATTCAAAGCAAGGCTGTACAATTACCTATGCTTTGGTCTTATCTCTGCAGTACAGCCTCAAGCAGGCAAAGGCAGACCATTCTTGTCAATTTCATAAATAATTTTATCTCTACCATATTCATATGATTCACAGACACCCTACAGTGATCAAAGGCAAAGCCATTCCACTTTTTTATTTCTTATATTGTGGTTTCAATTTTTTAAATATTATATTTAGTTGTTGATGGACCATTATTTTATTTATTCATTTATATGTGGTGTTGAGAATTGAACCCATTGCCCCACACATGTGGGGCAAGTGCTCAACCACTGAGCTGCAACCCCGCCCTTGTGGTCTCCATTTTAATAATAAATTATTTCTTTGTTTGGTACTTGTAGGAGAAATTTGAGAATAATGGTTAATAATATATTCTGTCATTTGAAGTATTAAACAAACACTATAAAATATAGTGGTATCTCTATTTGCATGAAGTGTATCCTCATCCATTGAAATTTATGCCCATGTTTTTTTCTCAACAAATTTCTCATCTATTCAACTAAGAATTATAGATTTTATTGAGGGCTGCCTGAAAAGGAGAGGCAGAGAACAGAGAGAGGAGAGGAGGAGGGCAGAGATCTCATTTATTAACAACTAAATATTGAGAACTTTGTATGTCCCAGATATTAATATAAGCATTTGGGACTCAGAAGTAGAAGTGACAATATCTCTATTTGCTTTTCTCACTGGGAACTGTAACATCAGCATCTTACTTTCTAACCTGTGACTTCTCCAATCTCCGTCTATTCTGTTTCTTCTGTTGGTATTTTCCAAATTATTAATAAGAGATGTCTTAGTTTCTTTTCTCTTCCTTCTTTTTCTTTTCTTCTCTCTTCCCTGCTCTCATCTTAAATGTCATCCACTTCAAGAGTCACTTCTGACCAACATTTATTGATACCTAACACCTAGGTACTTTCTGTCAGGCTACCATATATTTTCTTATTGAATATCCTTTTTATAATGCCAATCTAATACAAATAATTTATATTTCACTGGCATGTTTGCTTTGATATTTGTTATCTGCATTCTCTATTAGTATATATGCTCTCTGAAGTAAAAAAAAAAAAAAATCTTTTATTTATTATTGTTTCCCCAGTTCTTCCAGAATAAAATGTCAATAAATACCTCTTGACTTGAAGTTACATTTTGGTGGGGGAAGGCAGGTAAATTGTATCAATATCCCTATAATCCATATTTAATTCCATAGCTGTAACGTCTACAAAAGGAGGAAGCTGTGAGATAAGAATAGAGCAGTGGTTTGTAAGGTGCTATCCTGGACCTGCAACACCTAGAAACTCATATGAATTCCGAATCAGAAGTGTAAGGTGGGACCCAGAAGTCTGTGTGTGATAGCTCTTCCCATGATTGTGAAGCAACTGAAGTCAGAGAACCAGGTAATAAAAATCCAGGGTGTTTAGAGCTGCACCTTATTTCTTGTGATGTGTGTAGATTGGAAGGTGGGATGCTATGTCTTGTCCTCATGGTGGTTTGTTTTCTTCCTGGTAGTCTCTTCAGACCACAGTAGGTTATTTATTTCCACAAGTCAGCAGTATCTACAGAAAACAAGATAAGAGGTCTGAGAAGTCAAAAGACTTGCAGATGATCTCACTAAAACATCTGGTGTAGGACTTTGATCGAAGCCTAATGATTTTTCAATCTAGTGAGTTCTATTCAGGTAAGCTGCATGGTTATTTTTACCAAGACCTTGAAGATATTGAATCAAACACAATCCTAGCTATTTCCACATTTGATTCGGAGTACTTTTGTTCTTTGAACATCTAATGATATTTTTCTTGTGGAAAATGGTTTAATTAAAGCTAGCATTCAAACACATTTTCCCAGACCACAAGTTTCAAGTTTATAATAAAAGTACAAGAAAAACATCAGTGTGTATTAAAAAAAAAAATCAGCCATTAACTGTGCCACTAACTTTAACCAGAGTACTTGAACTTTTAACAGGAGATTCATTTTTTTTTCTCTTTCTCTCTCTCTCTTTATTGTGAACACGGGTGTCATAGTTAGGGTAAGATGACTACATAAAATTTTAACCTTTTAATAGATAGAAATTTAGCTCACTGCACACAACTACCTATACAATTTTACACATACACACACACATACATGCACACACACAAATATATACAAATATATACAAATATATATGTGTATATCTCAAATGCCTAGCACTGTGCATGAAATATAAATTTACATCATAGGTTAATTTAATGAATTAAATGATTTCAAAATAGAATAAATTATTCATTTATAGTTAATAAATTATATGACATTCAAGAAATTTAACAAGCTTTTTAATCAAAAAAGGATTTCACACTTTTCAATTTTCTATTGGAAAAATAACTAGATATTGTCAAATTAATTAAGTTGTTAAATTTAAGAATAAAAATTTTTGACATTGATTACCATATTTCTCTTCATAAATCTTGCATACCTCTCTACTGGCAATATATGAGGATATTTTTGTTAAAAGTGTGGAATAGGATCATTGCTTTTACTTTTACCAATATAATGGTGGGGAAAAAAAATGGCACTTCACTGACCTAATGGTTACTACTCTGATAGAAAAGTACATTATTTTATTAGCCATAATCCATTACATTTCTTCCTTTTCTATTTTGTTATTAATGCTTTTAATTGATTTTTAAAACTGGGATGTCTGTTTTTTCTTTGAAACTTCTTTATTGTCATTTTGTACCATAATTGTTAAATTATAAGATACATAGTTTCAAACTTATTAGAAGTTTGCCTTTTAAAAAACATTTTGATCTTGCTTTTTAGTGTATAGAAATTGCATTATTTATTCAAATCATTTACTTTGGTGTCAGTTGTAAGATAGACATAAAGACAGATCCCCCCTTGAATATTTCGTGCATTTTTTAGAGACCCTTTTATCTCATGTTTACACAGGTGCCACAGCTGACTATCTTCCATTTTTGAGGCTCTGATCTAAACTTGGAAAAATAGCACTGGAAAAGTTAGACAAGGTACCTGATTTAATGAGGACTAGATCCAAAAAGGGAATAACAAATAAATTAAATGATTACATTTTATTAAACAATTGGAGTAGGAAATATTTTAATTTAAGAATTCAGTTTGGTATGGTGATACCTTCGTATAATCCCAGGGATTTGAGGTTTTAGGATCACGAGTTCAAGGCCAGTCTCTGTAATTTCGTGTAATCCTTTCTCAAAATAAAAATAAAAAGGCTGGAGGATTAGCTCAGTAGTAGAGGGCCCCTTAATTTACTCCACAGGACTGAAAATCATAAATGCATTTATTACAGACTTAAAAGATAAATTAGGATAAAAAACAAAATTCTAAGATGGCCTCCTACGGTTCCCACCCTCTTGTGCATATGCCTATATGATTGTGAAGTTTTGAGTGTGGATGGGACCTATGAATATGATGAGATAATTGCTCTATTGATTGCACTGCATTGTAGAAGCCTCCATCTTAGCCAACAAGAGAAAGGGCCTCCTGTTGAAAAAGAAAACTACCCGATGGTAAGACAGTCACATGACTAGGACCAGTGTCCATTCTTCAGTTGCTGAGACAGCCCTCTGGCCATAGGAGGAAACAGGAGTCTGGTCCTGTAACTGGAAGAATTTGACTTTTACCAATCACATTAATAATTTAGGAAGAGATTTAGTCCTGCAAAGATGAAGAGCAGGGAACTCCTGGCAGTTTTGAACAGGGGAGTCATGTGATCTGACATGTCTTTAAAGATCTCAGTGTCATATACAGGGAGAAAGAAATTTAGAGAAACCAGACAGCAGGAAGATCATTGTTGTTGAAAAACTCCAGGTAAGAGAAGTGATGACGATTGCAGAGAAGACGATAAGTACTGAACAGGTATGGGATGAGTTTTAAGGGTTGTCTAAACAATTTCTTGATGAACTGATGAGAAGAACTAGGGAAGTAGAGGAAATGGCACTTTGATTTTTGTCTTGATAACAAAGTACTATGAATATTTACTCTATTTTCTGAAAGTACTGATTTAAGCTAATAAATTCGGCTTTAATAATCACTTTAGCTATATCACCTGAGACTTGATGTGCAGTAATTTCATCACTCATTTCTAAATAAAATCAATGTCCATTATGGGATTTCTTTTCTATCATGTGATTTATTTAAAGTTGTGTTTCTAAAAACTATAAATATTTTGGATTTTTCTGGCTTTCTTTTTCCTTTTGATTTCTAACAAAGTGTGGTCAGAAAAGGAGATTTCCTACAAATAAATTGCAGAAAAGTCACTAGAGTAAAGGGAAAGGAACAGGGATAGGGAGGAAGGGAGGAGGAGAGAGTAATGGGAACTAAATTAGAGCAAATTATATTCCATGATTCTATAATTATGTCAAAATGTATCTTAATATTATATATAACTTAAAATAATCAATTTTTAAAAAATAAAGAAAATGAGGTGTCCCTAAATGAAAGACTTGGACACTTGTTTGAGCTAACTTTGTCAGTATCTGACTACTCTTTCATTGATGACAATATTATATACATGTCCATTAAACAAGCTTGCAAATAATCTTACTGAAGTCTTACACTGCTACAAATTTTCATCTGTCACATCTCCCAATTGCTAGGATAGATGTGTTAAAAGAATCTGACCATGATAATGAATTTAGTAATTTCTGCTTTAACTCTCTAAATATTTACTTTTAGTATATTAAATCTGCTTGGGGAGCATAAATTTAATTATTATTTTAATGATGGACTAAATCTTTTCCCTTCTTTCTAGTAAGACATTTTGTATTTAATTTATTATATCTGATATAGCAATACCAGTTTTCCATTTAAATGTAGGCCTGGTATAGATTGTTTTCCAATTTTATTGTATACATTTATGTGGTAACTTTTTAGTTATGACTTGTGATTTTGGATAGTTAAAATTTATTAAATTGATTCTGAAAATGACTGTTTCTTGAATTAGTTGTGAGTAGTGATTTATTTATTATTATAAAAATTTCAAGGTGTACAATGGTGGGGAGATTAGTAAAATGAACCTACCCATTGGGAACCAGTTGTCCATGGAATTCTTATGTTTTTGTCCATCAGATGGACAATAATACTAAACAAAGAGACATTTGATCTGGACTACCTCTTAAAATCTGCCTCTATAGAAAGCATCTTCAGAAGATAGAGATAGTATTTCCCTTTGTAGCAAACTAAATCTGTATTTACTGGGTCGCATAATAAAGTTGTCTCCCTGTGGGGCTAGAGGAAGGCAATCTTATAGTCTATTATAAAAATTTCAGTCCCCTAAGATCATGATACTTCTACAACACAGCACATTTCATGCACAAGTGTTATGTGGCCCTTTTTCTATTGCCTTATAGGAATTGGGGGTCAAAGAACCAGCACTGATACCCATTTGCTGTTATTCTGAACTATAATGTGCTTTGTCTATGATCATGGATTTTATGTCTTTGCCAGTATTCATGAAACTTATCCATTTGTAAATTGGGAAAAAAATTATCCAAATCTTCACTATTCTTTATCTCCTCTACCCCCATCATAGGGCTTCAACTCATGGTTCAGTGTCGGATTGTATGTATTCATACATACACATACATATACACGTATATGTATCTCCTTCCTCCCAAAACCATACCAAATCATTTTATCCACATTGATTTCCTAACCTAACTTTAAAAGTACTTTCTAAAGAATAAAAAAGTAATGATCCTAAAATATTTTAAATAATTTATTTTTTATAATTAAATACCCAGTTAGTATCCACATTTCACAAATAATATTTTGTTGTTGTTGTTATTGTTTTATGTTTGCTTATTTGATAAAGTATTTGAATAGATCCACGCATTGCAACATTTCTTGGTACTATTAAACCTTCTTTAATTTACAGATTAAGGAAGTAACCTCCCCCCTACTTTGCTATACACTCAAATTACCTGGGAATCTGTAAAATATACAAAGGGCTGGTTTTTATTTCAAGAAATTTAAATTCAATTAGTATGAGCTGTGATCTGGGTGTCAATGTTTTTAAGAGAATCACTGCTATAGGCAACACCACCTTTTTCCTTTTACTTCCTCTTTCTCCCTACCTCTCTTTTTTTCTCTCTCTTCCTTCATTTAGTTTTCCTCTTTCTCACCCTTACAGAAATAAAGAAAAATATTTAACTCAGCAGTAAGATAAGACATAAATTCATGTTCCCAGAAGCGACACAAAACTCATAAAGCAAATATTGATAAGAGTTAAAGAAGAAACTAATAAATCCATTATTGTAGTCATTTTTGACACATCTATCATGGTAATTGAGAGATTTGTCAGACAAAAAAAATCTCACTTCAGGTGATGTTAGTAATTCTAGTGATTATTAGAAATATTATCATCCTTCCTACATTTATTTTTATAATATTTTCAGAAATATATTTGAATTTTTAAAGTATGCATGTTATGTTATTGGGGATAGAACTCATGGGCTCATAAATGCTAGGCAAGTGTATACCCCAGCCCTTTTAATTTATTATTATTATTATTATTTTCAATTTGTTTTGAAGCAGAATC